ATCGAATTCATCATAATTCTATTATTTATATATGTTTATAAAAATTTTATTTTCTTATTTGATATACATATACATACACTTAATGTACATATACATATTGTATATTGGATACCAATTAGGTATTGTATTATAATTTATAACATTTCGTCTTCACATACTTATACCTATATGTACATAAATGTGTACATATTATAGTTAAGGTATATAATTGATAATTTTCATTTACACTTTTAAGTACATACAAATAATTATATTTTATTTCACTATACATATATACACACATATATATATATATACATACAGTATTGTTATAAATAAAGCCGTTTCAATGCTGCACCTTTGATAAACTGGTATAAAGATATCCGCTTTATTCGAGTAAATATGTATATTAAATATATAAGTTGACGTATACAGGGTGATTCATTATGACATACATATTCATATTCATTATAACATACATACCATAATTTTACCATATTATGTATAAATATATACATATACAATTGAAAAAAGTTTAAAAAATTGTGTAAAGTTTTGCCACCTTATATGCTAAATAAAAATATTGGACATAAAAAAATATTTAACTTAAGCCTTCTAGTAGTTAATTTAGACACTTTTAAAAATTTACTTTTTTGAATAAATTAGCATTTTTTTTTCTTTTAAAGTTGAGGTTATTAAATGCAGGAGAGAAAAATCGATTCACATAAATTTCACCAATCGAAAAATAGTGAATCAAATTAACAGAAATGGAATGAACGTAGCAATCCATAACTCAGCAAAATACCTATTGGGATGACTTCAGATGTCAAACTAAGGTGGAAAGAGCATATAAAGAAGAAACACATAGAAATAGAAAATAAATATAGAGAAAATTATTGGCTCCTATATTCAATTTCCTTATGGAAGGTATTTAATTTCTGTACGGAAAAACCAAGTTAGCGCAAAGTTTCAAGTTCTAGTGAGTTAAGGTGATTTTTTAGGGTAGGTGTGACACCACTTTCGGAGGAAAAAGGCAGGTAGTGCTGTCCTTCTTTGTCTTTCGGTATTTTTTCATCTATAGCAGAAAAAAAAAATGCAGGAAGTTTTAAATTAACAATATGAATAATTTTAATTTATAACAGTATTATATATTGTGCAATAATATTACATAATATGTAAGTAAATTTTTGTGCTATATATTAGCGATCAGTCATTCTCAAACGGAAGATCGCGACCATAAACATAGTCGGGAAGAGTATAAAAATGATTTAATAAATTTTTTTTTTTTGACTAATTCGATAGAAGTAAAAGCAGATAAATTGGTTAACATGAACAAGAAGCATATGAGCCATTAAGAAATTTGTTATTGAAATCTTAATGTATAAATTTGTTATTAGTATATATTATGTATTGTAATAAATTGAATTTGAACTAGCAAATTTACTTTTAATGTTAAATTAATGTGTACAACACTTGTATAACTTTTTCTTTTAAATAGTATGCATGTACATAAAAAACACTTTTAATGCAAAAATCAAACAAACGGTGGTCACAAAATCACTGACCATTAATCTTTGTCGTCGTCTCCTTCATTTTGAGAAACACTGCCTATATATGACATCATTTTCTTTATTATATAGTTTAATACCAATTGAAAACAAAGTTTAAAAGCAAAAATTAAAAAAAATTGGCATAAGAAATTTTTTTGCACATTCCACAATATTTACAAACCGATTATTCAAAAGGGCTTGTGTCTAATTAACGCGATAATACTGTATATTACGATACCAAATTTAATTAATCACCCTGTATAATTGTACGAAAAAGTAATTGTGTTTGGAAATTGAAAGGTTTAAACGTGGTACCTGTTCTTTTTCATTTAAAATATATCTTGTATAATATTTTTTAAAACCTATATATAAAATTTCGTATACGAGTATCTCTATAGATTTATATAAAAGAAACAAAAAAAAAAAATATAAAAAAAAAAAATATTAAAATAAAAAACTTAAAATAAGATTTCAATCGAACATTAACATGTGACCGCAATAAAACAAAAAATTAAAAAAAAAAAAAAAACTAAAGGAAAATAAAAGGAACAACACAAAAAAAAAACACTACTCTAATGCAATTAAGTTATAAAAGCATAAAAATTTACAAGCCTGAAATAAGTTTTGTTCCTTTTGATTACTTTGTTATTTTGTATATAATATACGATAGTATACGATAAAGTATGGGGCTGCATTTTTAAATTTCATCAAATACCACGCAACATTTCAAATTTATTCGCTTTTATAATAAAAAAATATAAAAAAAAAAATAGCGAAGTTCTTTCAATTTTTATTTCATTTAAGTTTACTAAACTCAAATTTACTCAAATATATGTAGAAAAGAAAACGTACCACATACCAAACATTATACTTAAATATTATACTATATATTCATACATACACATGTACATTTTATCTTATATTTTAATTTTTAATATTAGAAAACCTGAAATTATTACAAGCTAATGTAGAAAAATAATAAAACAAAAAAAAAAACAGCAAAAAAATTCCATATAAAAATTAAATTTTTTTATTATTTTTGTTTTTTTTTTTTTTTAATTTATTAATTTATTACCTTTACATCTGCACGATATATTACATGAGTTTAGAAGAAAAGTTTGTATAATTCCATTAGTTCTATAGTTTAATGCATGGTATTATATCTGCCGCTTATATAATAATGTATTCATGCATTAGAAATAAAAAAATTTAAGAATTCGTTTTTCTTAAAAAATAAAGGAAATTCAAATTTTGAATATCAAAAATGAGAAAAAAATTACCTATACATTAATTCTGAAAATTTATGTGTACCTATGAATATGAATAAAAAAAGGATTAATTTAATATGTAAAAAATAAATTTTTAAATACGCAATATAAATATAATAATTACTTAATTTAAAAAAATAATAAATAATATATGAAGTTATTTGAAAAATTTAGAAAGCAATTAAAAAAATCTGATTAGTTGTTATAAACCGTAAATAGCTACTACACTCTAATATTATACAATAATAATTGTCGGCTTATCCGTTTACTGTTTTCTAATTTTAATAAAACAGTCTAATCGCATATCTCGCTTTTTCATTTCATTCTTTGTTCATTTTTAAATTAGAATTCTTCTTGAGAGCCAATAAATTCAAATTCATATATATATATAACAGCAATTGGCCTTCTTCTCACTTGGTACTCGGTATAAAATAGAGAGATCGAAATGATCACGTCCCTTAAAATAATGTTTAAAAAAATAAGAAAATTAGTTCATTTAGAAACAATTATTACCAAAAATTCATTTATGTTATCCGGAAAATAAATTTTTCATCTTTTTTGTTCCTGTTTTATTTAATATTTAATAAAATATTAAAGCATATAACTACATTTATATATGCATATATAAGCATATTGTATATACATTGCATATTACATGCATAATAACAGTATAATTTGAATTTATAATACTGACATAATGCTTGTCAATAATTTAATTTGTACTCTAATGCTAATCGAATACCAAGTTTACTGTTATTATTTTCTTATATTCAATCCAAACAAATAAATGATCTTGCCAATATTTACAATAGCACCTAAAAAGAAAAAATATTTAAGTTCTCTTTGTTTCACGGTTCACTTAAAGCGTAGTTTTTCTACCACTCATCTCTAAGCTCAATAATTTTTCAAATAATATTAATCGGTTAGAATTAAAATTTTTTAATTTACAAATTACTCGTATACAGAATTTTGTTATTATGTATTTACCTTTATTTGAATTTAAAGCTTTTAGATTTCAAAATTATAAAACTGCGACGAATTTAAATTTAAAATAATGGCAAAATATTTTCAGTACAAGCTAACATAAGTACATTTGTGTGTGCAGTTGAATGAGTATACATATATTGCGTTTTCATAATGTTTTTAACCCTTAACTACATGTAATGATTTTAATGTAAATTAATGCTTTTAACTTTTTATTTATGTGGAACTCAATCCCGAAATTACCAAAAGTATTTTGAAATTTTTAAACAAGTATTAACAAATAATTTTCAAGTTTCAGATTTTTATATAAAAAAAGTACAAACGTTTTATTTTAGTAGTTAAATACGATTCCAAGAATAGATTTCAAGAAATTTGAATTGATTGTGACATGCCCGTCTCTTGAGTTTACCCAAATATTTTAAATCATTCATCAATTTACCTGTTTCATTATTTTCATCAATTCAGCTGTTAATGCTACCAACCTAAAAACAGTTTTTATTGACTTCACAACAACGACTATCAGAAAGGCACATTTGAGGTGACGTGACGAAATAGATTTTTTTATAAAGTCAGTGGCAAGACTAATTGCATATAAGTTCATTTTATAAATGCAATGATACTCACTCAATTTCTTCTTGTCTGATACTTAATAATTTGGATACAGAATCAGTGTCTAGTATTAAAAAATGAAATATCTCAAATTTTAACTTTGCTACTGTAAACCTCAAATTTTAAGCAAATATGGTACTAGCGTTGTCAAAATTATACACCTATGACTATGGTGTATGAAGCAACAATCAAATTGTGCAAATATATGATTTTATACGTAAGCCGTTACAATTGATTTAAGTGTCATCTTCTATATACAAGTTGTGCTGTATTTTTTACCTAAATTTCCAATTTAAAGCAATGCTTATTTTTTCTTACTTGTTTTTTGGAACCTATTCATCAGAATAAAGGATGTAAATTGCATTAAATTTAAATGTGATAAAGCTTATCAACAATGTAATAAAGATATTATGAACATAAACATTTATTGTTGCTTTGTAAAGCACTAAACTTTTAAATTTCAATTTTCTTTTGCTTTGATTTTATCACGTATTTAGCTTTTAAAAAATTAAAGTCTTTACAAACAAAATAAGTAGACAAACTTCTAAACTTATTTAATATTTCAGTATTTTACAAAAAATTTTATAAGAAATAAATAGAAAATCAAAAATTAGTTTTTCTCGCTTTTAATAATTTTTTTTCTTTTTTTATTTTTATTCCTTTTTTTTTTGAGATTTTATTTTACGATAATGTTATGAATGTTCATAATTTTGTATTTCTTATTTTTGTCTAAAATTTTAAATAAAATAAAGATTTAAAAAATTTACAGTTTAGGAAACAGGTTGCTGTTCCTTTAGTTTTTTGATTTCTTTTGTAGCCCAATTAGATAACGATTTTGTGCGAGTAACTTTAGATCGTTTACCTTCAGCAAGCAATTGGTTAATTAACGGATCATCTAATAATGGGTAGAATTTTGGACCAAAGGCAGAGCAAATGTCTCCTACTAATCCAGCTGTAATCGCTATTATTGAATCAGAAATTTCTCCATCTTGTGATATACTTTTAATAAATGTTATAATGTGACCAACATGTCCTGCCATATTAAAAACATCATGATGTGGCGTTATATCAACACCTTTCAAACCTTGTATTATACCAGTATAGGCCTCAAGAACACTTTCACGTAATTCATTAAGGTATTCAACCATATCAAAATCATTTGGATCTACTTGAACTTGTGATGCATGCAATAACATTTGTAATACAACTGACAAATATTTTAAGAAATGAGAACCAATACTTAATGCCATATCTCCGAACGCTGACAAAATTTGTGGTTTAACACTTCTATGCAATTGAGGATTACCTAAATTTTCCAATAGCAAACTCATTATTTCATCGCAATACGGTAAAATTTTTGCTTTCAATCCTCTGCAAATATCTCCTGTTAAACCCACAGCGGCACAGCAAACTTGATATTCTTGATGATTTTTAAGTCCCATAAATAAAAATGGTTTGAAAGCATCCATGTATTTCAAAAACTGTTCTCCAAGTAGATCAACTAAAGTAGAAACAGCAATTAGAGCATCTTCTTGAACACCACCGGCCTTGCCAGAGCTGGAACTAAACATTGTTAATAGTGCAGTCATGATCGCATCCGAAATTTTTGGAGCATCTTGTGAATCAACTTTACGCAAAACAGATTGTAGTGTAGCACACAATAAAGATTGCAGGTCGTTAAATTGATGGCGATCATTGTGGTTTGTAATACGATTTTCCATTTGGAGCACTTGATTTAAACGTTGTAAAATAACCATCGTTGTTTTTTGAACAACGACATAACAATCGTTCGGAGAATTTTTAATCATATCCATCAAGGCTTCATAAGCAGCTGCTCTTAAATTGGCCTGACCACCATCAGGTCTATCAGTCGCTTCTAGTAACTGTGTAATTATAAATTCAAAATAGGGTGATAAGCAATAAGTTTCTGGTGTTTTTTCGTCCATGCTTTCAGCTGCTTCGTAAGCAGCTTCAGATAATCCTATAAACGCCCAGCAGACATTTGCTGCTACACGTGGTTCCGCTTTTAAACCTTTTAAGAAACTTTCTAGTAACGGACCAAGATAAGTTGGATTGATGGCAGCTTCGGGAATTATCTTAAAAAATAAATGAAAAATTAAAATTTAAGGAAACGGTTTTATAAAAGCGAATAAATACTCACATCGCAAATTCTTCCAAAAGTCCATGCTGTTGTATCGCGCACCGTGACATTGTGATCGTGCATTAATTGAATTAATGTCGGCATGGCTTGTTCAACTAAAGGTTTCAATGTTTGTGTCTCCAAACCACCTAAAACAGAACCAAATACCATTACAGCAGCATCACGATATCTCCAGTCAGGCGATTTTATATTTTCTTCAATAAATGGAAATACATGTGGCGCAATATCATCTTCACAGCATGTCGCTAAGAGCATTAAACAAACACTGGCAGCCTTTGCAGGGTTCCAATTATCATCATCCTCCAGATCGTCTTGTTTTGTAAGTTTCTCCATCAAAACTGGTATTAAAAATTGGAGCGCTCCTCTAGCATAATGCTTTGAAACTCTTGCGGGAGTTCTTCCTGCATCTGCTGCTTCCTGTGCCAAAATTTGCAAATCAACTTCTTCGTCGCTGACATTAGACCAAAACTCAATTCCTTGTAGAGCTATTTGATCATTATCTGACTTCATAGCCTCCAGTGTAATTGGGAATAGGGCTTGAGCCATGTATGGTTCCATATACTGATAATAAAGGGATAAAATTTTAACCAAGCACTGTAAGGCCGCTACACAAATCTGAGTATCTGTTGATTGGGTTGCTTCACACACAACTTCCATAATGTAGTTTCTTTCTATTTCCTTGCCAAAATTTGCTTTTGTAAATTCAAGTGAATTTAAGAGAGCTGTAGTTGCAGCCAAACGAACATGGTTACTTGGTTCCTGTTTTCTCATACCGTGAATTATAGCTGTAAGTATTTGATTTGATTGACTTTCTAAGACTCCCGCGTTGATATCTTGACAAATATAACCTGTGATTGATTACACATAAATATTTCGTCCCTTTTTACACTTTATTTTGCTATATTACCTATTGCTTCGAGAGATGCCTCCCTTTCCATTTCGCTAGATACTTCCGATACAACTTTATTAACTAAAGTCGATATTAACTGATTCCAATTTCCAATTGGTAATTCTGCGATTGCAACATATGCAACGCATTGAGCAGCGGAAGAAGGACGAGCATTTTCCGTTCCGAGAGAACCTAATATCTAAACAAAAAAAATTCCTTGTGAATTTAACATACATATATAATTAAGCGCTTTAATTCTTACATTTTTCTTTATATACTCTTTTGTTTCAGCTGGAAAAAGGTGCCATCGCTGTTGGTATTGTTCATTTAAGGAAATTTCTTTGCTTGTCAAATGATTTTTCAACTGCAGACCGGCTGCCATTCGCGCCACTGCAGAATTCCCTGGTGTTGACAATATGTCGGACAAAGCCTTAAGAAATTCTGCAAGATTTGTTTCTGCTGCATGTTCCAAGAATATTTTAGCAGCATTCAACTCATTTTTATCTAAAATTATAATTAAAAACCATTGGTCATCGTTATAATTAATCTTAAAATCCACTCCCAAAATTAACTAATGAAAATTGCAGACACTTGTCAATTCCAAAATGGAGAATAAATTACAATTCTTTTTGCCACTTCCACTTACCTGGTGATATTGTTTTTTCTAAAATTCCAATTAATTGATTCATTTTGTGAAATGTACAAATTTACTTTGCAAAAAGAATTATCCGAAAAAATTAAACTAATATTTTTATTTAACCCGGCTACTCACATGTATGATGTTTAAACTAGAAAGTAATATACGATTATATACGAAACTAATTTGATTTACGAAAATTGCACAAAATACCGAACGAACAAAGGGCGATAGATAGCTAACAATTAACCCAACTAACATATAACTGACTTTTTAAAGAAATTTGGAATCTACACAAAATTACTTTGATTCTAGAAAAATCAGTGTATAGAGTCATCTATTGGCAAATATACACGAATCAATTAGCAATTTTTATATGTTGTCAATATGAAAAACATTGAGTTTCTAATTTCTTTGATTTAAATAGAAACTATGTATTTTCAAAATGACATATACAAAAATAATTTTACAATCATAATTGAGTAACATTTTTCACAACTTTTAAAAAACCGAAAATCAAAACTGTACGCAACGTGGCGCTAATGTTCGTTCAAAACTTTCCTATGGATTTTAAAAGGATATAATTTTGAGGTTTGTGAGAGCCAAAATTTATTGGGTTGTCATTTTAAAGTCAATTGCGTATACAGTACATAACATGCTTTTCCGTAAACGGATTTGTAACTGAAATAATGAAAATGACTGTAAAGTGAACCAAAAAATTTATATCAAATGACAGTTTTGATTTTAAGCGAAAACTACGACCAGATTTAAATCTATAATGGATATATATACCATTTTTTTTTATCAGGAACAGATTTTTACGAGCGTGTATGTGTATACAATCAACTAAAATAGATAAATAATGTAAGTAAAATGGGAAAATTAATCTTTATAAAAATATTTTATCGGTATTTTTATTGGTTGACGGTCACTTCCCACAAAATCAAAATTCAGCTCATTTGGCTTCAATGGACTGAACGATGATTTTGTGAGAAGTGACGGTGAACCACGACATTTCGTACAATTCTCGCTGTCGCAGTGTTGCAGTAATGTTAACACAGCAATACACTTAATTATTATAACTCATATAAATGGTTGACAGTCATTTCCCACAAAATCACCACTCAGTCCTTTGAAGCTAAATCTGTCAATGTCAAAAATAACCGTCTACCAATGTCATTGTCGCAATTCACTTTACAAAAGCCAAAAACAATCTAAAAATATGCATGTACATGATACTAATAATATTAATAATTGAATTAATTTCTCAATTTGTTTTCTTTTAGTTTTTGCATTGTTTGCTTTTCCTTTTTTTTTATGTTTCCTCTGGAATTACAATGTAATGATCGTTTTCCTTGCAATTTTCGTTTTGAGATATTAAAAATGACATTTGACATTCAATTGTCATCAATATTCCGAAATTCTGAGACTGTATTGTTTGGTTGAAGGTCATTTCCAACAAAATCACTACTCAGTCCATTTAAGTCAAATGGGCTGAATTGTGATTTTGTGGGAAGTGACCGTCATCCCATAAAGCAATCCAATTTACTTAGTCATGCATAATAAAAATCAGATAAAAAATATGTACTGACGACCATACTGACGGCTGCTTCCAACAAAATCACCATTCAGCCTATTTGCCTTCAATGGGCTGGATGGTGATTTAGTGAGCAATGACCGTCAATCATTATAAACACCATAGCTGAAATATTTGAAATATATCCATCCCTTAAATAATATTAAAAAAATCTTGCTTACTCAAATAAATAGTTGATAACTCAAATTGAATTGACGCAAGGCGGGTGTGCTGTTATTTTATTTTTACTCGGAATTTTCAAACAAAAAAAAATATAAACAAAATGATATTTTTAAAATAGTTTTTGAATATTTAGTTACAAAAGTTATTTCGAATTATTTAATTTTAGTTTACGTATTTTAATGATTTTTTTTTTTTATAAATTTATGTTGTGTTCAAGTACAATATCTAGTTTGTGTTTAAGATTAGGGCGTCAACCTGCTAAGTTTACATATTAAAATTGTAAAAAGGTAATGTGATTTACTACATTTATACATACCGCGTTTCATTTGTTCTTAAGTTTAAAACTTTCAAAAGTTTTATTCTAACATTTTTTAATAATACTTTTTAGTTTAGTACAAATTTTAAATTCATATTATTATTTTGCCTGCGTTGATCTATTGATTGTATTTTAAAATATGTACTTATTATATACATGTAAATATACATATATGTAATTACTAATTAGCAACAAAATATATTGTGTACATAGTAAAATAATAAATGCACGCTAAACCATGTAAATATTTTCAATGAAAAATTTTTTAGTTTGAAATAATATTGATCCTTAATTAGAATTAGTTTCAAACTAGTTTTCCTAAGCTAATTTCATGCCAAATAATGACTCATGCATATTTTTCGTAATATATTAATGGTTGAGTATATTGTCTACATTGGTAAGTCATTATATGTAACTATAATATAATATATAACCACATATGTATGCACATAATGAAATTGATCCAGCCGTATGAATGAATACAATAAAGAAAATAAAGAATAATGAATAAAACTATTATATTTTTTATACACATTTAATAAACTAATATTGATGTAGTTATTTGTATATATTCCCACATTTCACCCCTAAAACAGCGATTTTATGTATAAGCATTTAGAACTATTGCAATGTAATTCTGTGTATACTCAAAAATCTTTTGTTGCTTAATTAAATCATAATAACAAGTTGTGAACAAAAAAAATTTAAAATTACTTTAAAAGGAATTAATGTGAGAAAGATTTACATTTTAATTTTTAATTTAATGAATTAAATTTAGGCAAAAAAGCTTTTGGGGCACAATAGTCAATAATTATGTTTTTGCAAAAAAGTACATTCTACATATATATTTCTATTGAAATATGTGTCTATATAAATACAGATTATATACCTACATATCTATGTAATACAGAGAAATGTGTTTAAAAATGTATGTAGCATTGTAACCAATTGTGTACACATATTTTTAAATTGTGTGCAATTGAATAATGTCATTTGTGTACTACTTTACTAAGTAAAAGCCAGGTGAAAAAATGTATGTGCGTGCATATCTTCAATGTTAACAATCCTTTTATTAAAATTTACCCTTCTAACAAATCCCCTCATACTGCTTAATAGATTTTCGCATTTACAATGGGTTCGAAAACACTTCAAACGATAAAATACCTACACATACTTTATTTTGTAATTATAGTGTGAATAAAGGTTGGAAACGATTCTGTTTTGCTATAATAGAAAACGTAATTGTTTTCATTTGCTGTCTGTTAATTGTATGAAAACGTTTTTTATGATTCATTCGATTTTTTTTGCATTAAAAGAACAAACAATATCTAAGTTACTAACTAGAGGTACCGTAGAAATGTTCTATTTCTTATATAACATTCATTTTACATTTGTTTTTTGTATCATTGTCTGATTTGAATTAATTAATTTATTTAAAATTTTTATTTTTAGATTTACAATTATCATGGACTATTTAATTTTACGAAATATTATTTTCTTGGCTATTATTTTAAGCGGCATTCAAAACTCTAAGAGTCAAAATGACTTCAATACACCAACGAATCCTTATTTGGGAGGAAATAGAAATGATCAAACAAATACATATTTAACTAATCAAATTTCAAACGTTAATACTAGAAAGTATGATGCAAAAACATCTTATAATAGTAAAAATCAATTTTTAGATGCAATTTCTAAACAAACTACATATTTTGTGGTTGCATCGAAAACTGTTCGACCCGGTTTAATATATCATGTATCTGTTTCAATTTTGTATACTGTTAATCCAGTAACGGTGCATGCTAGTATTTCAAGAAATGGTGTTGAAATAAGTGGAGAATCCAAAGAAATGAAAGAAGGAATTCAGGAAACTTTATCAATGCGTATACCGTCAACTAGCGTTACAGGAAATTATAAATTACGGGTAGAAGGATTATATAATAATGTTTTGGGTGGTATTGCTTTTTTAAATGAGACTAATTTGGATTTTTTGCAAAGATCAATGACCATTTTTATTCAAACTGATAAACCATTATATATGCAAAATGAAATTGTACGATTTCGTATAATACCAATTACAACAGAATTGAAAGGATTTAATAGTGCTATAGATGTGTATATGATCGATCCGAATGGAGTAATTGTAAGACGATGGCTGTCGAGGCAATCAAATATAGGTAGCGTGAGTCTTGATTATCAACTTTCAGATCAACCATCTTATGGTGAATGGACTATTCGTATTATAGCACAAGGACAAATCGAAGAAGGGCGATTTTTGGTTGAAGAATTCTATCAAACACGCTTTGAAGTAAACGTAACAATGCCATCATTTTTCTTCTATAATGATAAATACATTTATGGTAAAATTATGGCAAATTTTACATCAGGTGCACCAGTAAATGGCAATTTAACTTTAAAAGCCACAGTACGTCAAATTGGGTGGTTTGATACAAAAAAAATAAATGAAAGATATCGTTTAGGGCATCATTTCAGCAATTATATCCCACGCAGATATTATGGATATAATTCTGCTGATGCCTATGGTAATCAACAATACGGTAATCAGCAATATGGTAATACATATGGTACACAAAATTATGACAATTACGGTAGCCAAAACTATGATGGTTATGGTAATCAATTTTATCAGACAGGAAATCAGGGAGATAATTACAATCAATTCGGTAATATTAATCCTACAGATACATCATCAGTTAATCCACAGGATCAAGATTATTATTCGAGACAAAATCAATATATGTTTGAAAAATATTTTGAATTCGATGAAAATTGGCCGTTTTGGATTCAAAAACCTTACACTGAAACTTATGACAGATGGACTGGGACCTATAAAAATTCTTTACCTTACCTTAGATTTTTCAATGGAACTTATGAATTTCGATATCCAATGCAAGAAATATTACAGCTATTACCAGATTTTCGTAATGGAGTTGAAATAATGTTCACTGCTACAGTAGGTGAGAAATTTTACGATGAAATAATTTCAGGATATGCAATCACAAGGATCTATAATTCCACAATAAAACTACAATTTTTGGGAGATTCTCCTCAAGTCTTTAAACCTGAAATGCCACACACATGTTATATTGTGGCTGCTTATCACGACGGTAGTCCTTTAAGGACTGATCAACTTTATCGAGGTCAGTTGTCAGTTGCGGGATATGTTGAAGGTTTAGTTGGAGGTAGAAGAGATTTCCCAACTAAAATTTTGAAAATGTCAGAAAACTCTGGAGTTTGGGAATTGTTAATTGATCTCCGATATGATTTAAACATTGAAAATAATAGGAATGGGGAAGATGTATTAACTAATATACAAACATTAAAATTGGAAGCCACTTTCAATGATGGTACAGGGGAATTTGTACGAGCAGAATTAATGCTACTGAGTCATTATTCTCCAAAAAATCGTCACATTAAAATTAATACAAGTACCAAAAATGCCAAAGTTGGAGAATATGCTATTTTTCATGTTCGTACCAACTTTTTCATGGAAACATTTAGTTATCTAGTAATTTCAAAAGGAATAATATTAGTAAGTGGTGAAGAAACTATTACAGAAGGTATCAGGACAATGGCTATTGCATGCAGTTCTGAAATGGCACCAGTCGCTACAATTGTTGTATGGAAAGTTAATCAATATGGTTACGTTGTTGCAGATTCTCTTACTTTCCCTGTGAATGGAATATCCCGTAATAATTTTACTGTTTATATAAATAATCGCAAAGCAAGAACTGGAGAGAAGGTTGAAGTAGCTATATATGGAGATCCAGGTTCTTTTGTTGGTTTATCTGGAATTGATAATGCTTTCTACACTATGCAAGCTGGTAATGAATTGTCGTATGCTGACATAATCAAAAAAATGTCAAATTTTGGAGAAGAAGGAAATGGAACTTATGCTTATACATGGCGTTACCACGAAGGTACACCAGATCGATTGGTTTATTATCCAGCATCCAGTTTTGGAATCGATGCGAATCGAACTTTTGGTTTTAATGGTTTGATTGTATTCACAGATAGCTATGTTCCAAGAAGATACAGCAATTGCGATTTTCAGATAGGTAAATTGATTTGACAATTTTAATATTTTTTAGACGTTACGTTTATTTGTAATTTGTTAATTATTACAGGAACGAAAGAATGTTTATCCGGAAATCGTTGCTATGACGCAAAAAAAGAATGTGACGGCTATTACGATTGTGATGATGGAACAGATGAAATGAATTGTAATTTCTTTAATGAAACTGCTTTAAATGAATATAGAAAATATAGGTTTAATCGCATGCGTCGTCACTATGAAAATGTTTGGTTATGGAAAGATATTAATATTGGTCCGCATGGGCGTTATATTTTCAACATTGATGTACCAGATATTCCAGCTTTATGGATGGTTTCGGCCTTCAGTTTAAGTGGAGGCAAAGGCTTTGGTATGCTTCACGATGCTATAGAATATATTGGTGTCCAACCGTTTTATATAAATTTGGAAATGCCTTCAAAATGTCGACAAGGAGAACAAGTTGGCTTGCGGGTAACCGTTTTCAATTACATGACAACACCAGTAGAGTGTACTGTTGTTTTACATGGTTCACCTGACTACAAATTTATTCATGTAGAAGAAGATGGTATTGTTAGATCATATAATCCAAGAACATCACATGGAGAACATCAATTTTTCATTTACTTGAAATCCCAAGAATCAAGTACTGTGTATATTCCAATTGTGCCGACTAGATTAGGAGAAATCGAGGTAACTGTACATGCTGGAACATTACTTGGCACGGACACATTGTCAAGAAAATTGTTGGTTGAACCAGACGGTTTAACTCAAAACCGTCACCAATCTATTTTGCTAGATTTAAGTAACAGAGCTTACGTTTTGCAATACATGCATGTCAATATTACAGAAACTCCAATAATACCATATCAAGTTGAAAGATATTATGTTTTTGGTTCTAATCGTGCAAGACTATCTGTAGTTGGTGATGTTGTAGGTCCCATATTTCCAACAATGCCAGTTAATTCAACTAGTTTGCTAAATTTACCTATGGAGTCTGCTGAACAAAACATGTATAGTTTTGCAACTAATTTGTACACTATATTATATATGCGCTTAATTAACCAAAGGAATAAAGTATTAGAAAAACACGGATTCCATCATTTAAACATTGGTTTACAAAGACAATTAAGTTATTTACGTCCAGATGGTTCTTTTTCGCTTTTCCGATCTGATTGGAATAATTCTGCCTCTTCAGTATGGTTAACCGCTTATTGTGCAAGAGTCTTCCAGGAAGCTTCCTTTTATGAATGGGAAAACTTTATATTTATCGATCCTTTAATTATTCAGAACAGCATACGATGGATACTGCAACATCAAACGCCTGAAGGCTCGTTCTATGAAGTAACATCGTTCCCAGATCGTAAAATGAACACTTCATATTTTGATTTAAATGAGAACTCGATAAAATTTAAAAACATAACTTTGACAGCACATGTTTTGATAACTCTAGCTTCTTCGAAGGATTTATCTGGGGTAAATTGTTTTAAAACTAATTATTTTTTAAATTACCAAATATTGTTTTTTTAGTCTTTAGGCTCTCAAGTCGCTTTAGCGCAGCAAAGAGCAATTATATACATTGAACGGAATATGGAATATTTAAGTAAATCACAAGAGCCGCATGAATTAGCAATTGTGGCTTATGCACTAATGTTGAGTAGAAGTACTTCAGCTGAACAAGTATTTTCATATTTGGCCAAGCATGCTAGATATTTAGGTAAGAAATTTTTTTATAAATTTTTAATCAAGACTACATTTGTAATGACTCAACGAAATTTAATTATTTTTGTATTTTGTAGGAGAATTTGTTTACTGGGGACGGGAAGAAGTTCCACTTCCTCCAACTAAGCTAGAAAATCAAAAATATTTTTCACTTCCAAGGTTACCTTATGAATTTGATTCCTTAAACATTGAAACTACAGCATACGCCTTGTTAGTTTATGTATCTCGTCGAGAATTTTTCGTAGATCCTATAGCCAGATGGTTGAATGCTCAACGTTTAACTGATGGTGGCTGGGCTTCAACTCAGGTACTTAATATTATTTTATATTTGTGTATTGTTCTTATTTTAAATGTTTATGTTAATTATAGGATTCTGCTATAGCACTAAAAGCTTTGATAGAATATACCGTTCATTCACGTTTAAGAGAAGTTTCATCTTTATCAGTAACGGTTGAAGCAACTTCTTTACCAGGAGAAACCAAAGTTCTTACAATAAATGATGCTAATTTCGGTCGCCCACAATTTATAGACGTAAATTTTAAAGAATTTTTTTGGTATTGAATAATGATGAATTGTTTTTCAATAGATTCCAAATGCATGGGGTACGGTTAGGGTTCAAGCAAAAGGTGCTGGTTATGCTATACTTCAAATGCACGTTCAATATACAGTTGATATAGAACGTTTCCAAACAAAACCACCAGTTCCCGCTTTTAGTTTAGTTAGTCGTGCTATATTCCAGGGTAGAAATCAGTCTCATATTTTATACAAAACTTGCCAGAGGTAAATTTCATGAACAAAAACATAAAATATAAATCAACGAACAGAAGTTTAAATTTACAAAAAAAAATTTTAGTTGGGTGAACGTAAATGAGTCTGATCGTTCTGGTTTGACGGTTTTAGATGTAACTATACCAACTGGTTATTATATACAACAACAAAAATTGGATAAATATGTTCTAAGTAGAAATATAAGAAATTTACAACGTGCAAAATATATTGAAAGCGATAGCAAAGTTCTATTTTATTTCCAATATGTAAGCTTATATAAAATTAATATTTTACTCTTAATAATAAAGTGAAATGTTATTTATTTGAATTAGTTGGATCGTGACGATGTATGTGTTGACTTCACAGTTGAAAGATGGTATCCGGTGGCTAATATGTCACGATACTTACCTATAAGAGTTTATGATTATTATGCACCAGGTAAAATATATTTAAAAATTTTTAAAATGAAGTATTTATTAATTTCAACTTTATTTTTAGAGCGTTTCAACGAAACTATATTCGACTCACTACCTACGTATTTATTAAATATATGTGAAGTATGTGGCAGTTCCCAATGTCCATATTGTACTATATACAATAGTGGATGGACTGTGAGACTGTCTAGTTTTATTTTATTAATTACATTTGTTCGTTTGTTGTTATTTCGATAACTAAAATTAAAATTAAGTTTTAATTAAATTAAAAACAGAAAAACAAAAAATGCATGAGAATAAGACCAATGAAAGAATATTGAGTCAAAATTCAATTTTAAAAGTTAATGAAAATTTGTTTTCTTTTTTATTTGAATTATTATTTTAATGTTATAATTAAAACAAAATTTTTTTAAAGCAATATAAATTACAAAAAGAAACATTTCTATAAAAATTTTTTTATGTTTCAAAACAATAATGTGTCTTACAAAAAAAGTGTCTTATTATGGTCAAACCGTCCATTTAGATTTAAGCAAAACATGTAATAATAAAGTCAAACATTGAAATATATTTTTAATAAGAAATTAAGAATCTCTAAACATAACAAAAAAATATAAAACAAAAGGATTATATAAATTAAACTTTTCATTATAATCACAAAGTTTAATTAATAATTACATAAAAGTTTGATAATTATTTTCCACTCTACACTTACATACATATTCTTATATTTATCTTTTTTAGAATTTGAAATTGCTTTCTATTCAAAATATAATAGAAAACATAAGTTCTTTCGTTAAGATTTACATACTTATATTATAAAAAATTATGTTTAATATTAGAAAATATTAAATGCATTTTAAATTCCGTCCAAAAGAGCTCACAAAATATTTATATTTTGAAAAAAAAAAAAATATATTGACTGTAAGTTTTTTTATATTATAATATTATGTAAACGAAAAAAAAAAATGTTCAAAAACGAGTTTAATAAAGAAAAGAAAAAATTTTTATAATGTCCAAAAACTTTAGTGTTTTTTTAAATTGAATAACTAGAACTAAATAGAATATTGAATAACATTCATTCTTACAGATAACCACTTATATTAATTGGAGAAATAAATTTTTATTGTATACATATCATAAAAATATCATAGGGCTATATAGTTTTCCAAAAAGTTTTTAAAAATAAAGTTTTCTTCAATTCGAAAAAGACACTTGCTTTATTTCTTGTGCAGCGTACGTACTTTATCAAAGGTGGTTTTCTTCTAATTGTATAGCATCTGTGCCGACCTTATGTACAATAGATTCATGTAAGAACTTGGGAGAATGTAGGTTTTTAAATGTAAAAGAAGTAAGTGATAGATTGGTTTGAATTAGTATGCATATGCGTTTTTTACAAACAAAAAACTTGTTTGTATGTACTGTTTTTTGTCATAAAAAATCAAATGAATAAGGAATTTTCTATAAATATTTTATTTCCCTTTAGAGTTTTATATAAATTCAGCGCGCTAACGTGTAATATTTACATCTGTATGTACATAGTTACATTATTACTGTACTATAGTTAGCACATGAAAGGCTTCTTTATTTCATTTTGGTAAAATACCAATAAAAACAATTTTAAAAAGATTTTGATATTATGATTTTTCAATACATAATTATATTTAGAAATTAATTGTAAAATTTTCACCTGTATTGATTGTTAAATCTTAAATATGCAAAGGAACACTGTTTTATTTTTACTAATCTATACGTTATATTGTTACAATTGTTACAATAACACGAAATATGTATCCAAAAAGAAAATAATATTAAGAATTTTTAATACATATGATAAATTTCAACTTGTATGGGGTAATTGTTAAAAACGTATAACTTTTTACGGTTTGAACAGTAAATCTTATAAATCTACTCTTATATATTAAATTGAATGAATTTGTTATAAAAATTTTAAACTGATGTATATACAAATGTTGATTTACTTGATGTATATGAAATGTTAAACTATTCAAATTTAAGATCTTCCTACAGTAATAAATTGTAAACATGATTGCAAAATCTGGCCCATATTTTATTAACAATTTCCCTTGCTTAAGACAGTTTTGTAATCTAACGTTTTCAATTTTAATTTTTAATTATGATTTTCAAATCAATTTTAGCTGATGCCTTTGTGAGTATTAAACGAATTAAATTTTGTAGGGTATTATAAAAGTTGTCATATAATTTGTGGTGGTTTTGAATGGTATTTTTTAAGATCTATTGCAAATATAATGTAGTTATTCAAATTAATTGTTTTTAATGTACAATTTTCTTACCGAATCAAAAAGGTGCAATCGATATTTAGTCTGTGACTGTTTAATAGAATATTATTTAAAAATTAAAATTTAATCATTATTTTTTATTTGTATTTTCTAAATACGATTGAAATTTGTACGATTGAAAATATTATTGAAAGAATGCTAACATTTTCTTCCGTAAATTTTCAAAATTCAAAATCCTTTTCTCTCTAGATGAAATTGGAGGAAATGTTATTAAATCTTTACCAAATAACTTTAGAATTTTTAATTTAGTCCCATAGTTGCTCGTACTAATTAAATTTTTTTCTTTTATAAAATGAAGACATATTACAAATAAAGAGCAAACAGCACACCTTTTTTTTCGCTTTTGTTAAGAATGCCTTTAAGAAAATCATTTTCTTAGTCTTTTCTGTTTTTTTTTTCTTAAGGATATTTTACATACTTGATATATGTATATGTATTTACCTAGGTATCCATATCCATATAACTATATACAGGAATACATTTATTTGATTATTTAGGGAGATTTTCAATTGAAATCATAATTATTATTCTATATTTCGAAAACAGAATTTTCAATTAAATATCGGGGTTTTAAGAGTGTGTAAGAATGTAATTATTAAAAATTTTTGTTAAAAGAAACAGCGAGATTTATAATAAAAGCATACATATGTCATTTTATTAATAATTTGATACGACGGCGCTTAATAAACACACGGTTTTAAATCACCAAATTCTTTTATTTTTTTTATTGCTTGTTTCTTCGATAAAATAATTTAAGTTTTAATAATATGTATGTACTTTTATGTATGTTATGTAAGTATTTATTTTTTAGAAAATATTTTTAAGGTCTTAAATGATATTATGGAGCAACTGTATTTATCAAAACACATTACGCCGGATGCATTACGATATGTTCTTGCCAAAAAAAAAAGAGCGTAATAAAATACAAAAAAAAAAAAAAAAGGACAAAGTGATTAAGTGTGTGATTTTATAAACTGTGAAATTCAAGAAAAAGCAAAATCAAAATAAACTGTACAGAAAAAAAAAATCATATCCGGCTATAGATGGATTTTCAGTAGGGATGTTGAAAAATAAGGGGAAAAAGTTAAAATACAATAAAAGAACATATAAAAAATTCAGTCTCTAAATGAACAAATTGTAGTGCACAATTAAGTGCAAAAAAAAATTTGGATCTACTAGTACTAGTATAATTTGAATCTATTATATACTTACTTAATTTTACAAAATTTGGTAAACAAATTAAAATACGAGTAGGTTTTATCTTAAAATTTTTATGTATATAAAGGTAATAATTGTAATTCTTGGAATAAAATTGAGAAAAGATGTTCTGAAGTATCAAAACTAATGGTAGTGTTCGAAATAATTTGCTGAAATCTCTTGAAATTTTGGTTCCTGAGCAAAAGTCAAGTCACTGTAAGGAAATAACAGACAATAACTGTTAATTCAGTAACAAAAATGCATAATATTCTTAAATGCATATTTATTCTTATTATATTTCTAAGTTATTTATTAAAAATTAATAAATTCACTAATAAAAGTCGATTTCATAATAAAAATTTCTCGTATTCATTTTATATTGCATATGATTACTGTAGAATCTAGATCGTTTAAAAAAATAGCCATATAGGAAAATATGTTTGAAGCAGGATACAACGTTCTTGAATTTTGAACATTATAATGGTAGCTTAAAATTCGAAATCTTTCTTATTATTATGAGAATTGAAATAACGTTGGGTAATCCTTAACCTTTAATGTTAATGTCACGCTAGTATTTTCGTAATTATTCGTACTAAATTGTATTTCTTATACAGTAAGATCTACTGATTTTTGCACATTCTATATACAATAAAAGATACAAGCAAATAACCTTAGAAATGGCAATAAATTTTAATTTGATTGTTTTGAACCAAAATACAAGATTTCTGTGTACAAAGGTGAATAGTTTAAAATGAAATATATGTATGTAATACTTTTATTATTTTGGAAACATTTACACTTGTATGTATGTATATATATATGTATATACTTCTATTCAGAAGAGAATAATTGAATGTAAGTAAACAATTAATGTTTGTTTTTATGCTTTTTAATCTTATACAAACTGTAGTATGTACTTTTTCTATTTTCTATATAAGTATAAGATAAAAATTATAATATTGTTAGAAATCATTGAAGCAAATATGCCTTAGTTCATGGATTTTATATTTAATCCGTTTATGATATCCTGTTTTTAAAAATTTTATTTATTTTTTTTATTTTTTTATTAACAAATAATCAATAGTAATATTATTTGTTAAATTTTGTTTCATAACATGCATAGTACTCGTATGTGAAGACGAGTGTTTTGTGTAAGCAATATATAATTGAATATTATTCTCTAGAGAAACATAGAGGTATGTGTATATGTTTGAGTGATTATCTTAGTTTGTATATAGGATTTATTTTAATTCTAACAAACAGGATATTAGATAAGGTGTTATAAAACGGTATTAAAAATTACATAAATATAATCGCCGTTTAATTTTTGGACTTAAAAATTTTAAGTACTTACTTGTGTATCTTGTTAATACAGACATACTTACTTAATACGCATGATTAAATTAAATATTATAGACCGTTCCGTAAATGGTTAATAATTTTTCATTAAAATATTGGTAATAAATGGCAATAATATAAATTAATAAAAATTTCAAATTTAACTCAACTAAAATAATTTTTTATTAATATTATAGTGTAAATTTAATTAAAAAATATTCAATTTTTAATTTTTATGCAATTAATTTTTGAGGCTCTTCTGTTACACATATGATTTCAAATTTCTTAAAAATGATTTATTTTTTGTTAAGGCTTAATATTTTAGATTTTTAAATAATCAGTTTCGGTACGACAATTCAAAAAGTTTGTGAAGAAAATAAAAGTTTGATGCTGTGTAAGTTTTTGTTTTGTCAAAAATAAAATCCATACCTTATTAAAAATTATGATTTCTTTGCAGTCGAAGCTGTAACCGAAATTTCCAAAATATTACATTTAACCAAGACACAGATCTAACATCTTAAGCACTTTAGAGCTTAAATTGGTACAAAACGTACTTGTAGGTTACAAAGGTAATTTGAATTTAGGCAAACATTCATATGATTCATATTTTCGTTTTTCTTAGAATATTTGGCGATGAAAATTTATTCATCAGATTTTTCAAAACTTGTACAGAATTAATCAATAGCTTCTTTAGAAGGATTTTAAAATAAGCTGCAAATGACATTATTTTGCTCAAATTAGAGGGTAACAATTATGTAGTTAACAATTTTAATTTTAATTTTTAGCAATTGGACTAAAATTTCAATTCTTCAATTGATTACTTCTGTTATTTAAAATT